GAAGAACAGCATCTAGTAAAGATGAGGTCAAGCGTATTGCCTGCCTTGAGTAGGGGGGGACGGTGTGAGGATGAGGTCAAAAGAGGAAAGGAGTGGAAAGAGGGAGGCAGAAAGAAATGACTCAAAGGCAGACGTAGGGAGGTTAAAGTCACCCAGAACTGTGAGGGGTGAGCCATCCTCAGGAAAGGAACTTATCAAGGCGTCAAGATCATTGATGAACTCTCCAAGGGAACCTGGAGGGCGATAAATGACAACGATGTTAAGCTTGAATGGGCTAGTGACTGTGACAGCATGGAATTCAAATGAGGAGATAGACAGATGGGTCAGGGGGAAAAGAGAGAATGTCCACTTGGGAGAGATGAGGATTCCTGTGCCACCGCCGCGCTGACCAGATGCTCTCGGGTATGCGAGAACACATGATCAGACGAGGAAAGAGCAGTAGGAGTAGTAGTGTTTTCTGTGGTAATCCATGTTTCCGTCAGCGCCAAGAAGTCGAGGGACTGGAGGGTGGCATAGGCTGAGATGAACTCTGCCTTGTTGGCCGCAGAACAGCAGTTCCAGAGGCTACCGGAGACCTGGAACTCCACGTGGGTCGTGCGCGCAGTGTCCACCAGATTAGAGTGGCAGCAGCCTCGCCGTGTGAAGCGTTTGTATGGCCTGTGCGGAGAGGAGAGAACAGGGATAGACAGACACATAGTTGACAGGCTACAGAAAAGGCTACAAATGCAAAGGAGATCGGAATGAAATTAACTAAGCATCTGGGGGAAAGCGAGAGACCGGGGCCTCCCTCACGTTTCACTGAAACACTCAAATATAACTCTCCCAACTTCCACTTTAGATTAATAGACTTTAGTTAGTGTCTGGTCTGTTAGCGATGTTACCAAACAGACTAGCTCTGTCTCTTACCTCCAGTCAGTGTCTGGTCCACCAGCGATGCCACCAAACAGACTAGTTCTGTCTCTTACCTCTAGTTAGTGTCTGGTCTATTAGCGAAGTTACCAAACAGACTAGTTCTGTATATTCAATGTCCATTTTTTTTTACCCTTCTACCAATAGGTGCCTTGTTAAACACTATTATGTGATTCTATCCAACTTATGTGACTTGTTAAGAGACAAAATTACTCCTGAACTTATTTAGATTTGATCACGTTTCAGGAGAAGACCCAGATGCAGACAGTGTCGAAGTAACAAAAGTTTATTACAAAAAACAGGGGGCAGGCAAACGACAGGTCAAGGGCAGGCAGAGGTCAGTAATCCAGATCAGAGTCCAAAAGGTACAGAACGGCAGGCAGTCTCAGGGTCAGGGCAGGCAGAGGTCAATAATCCAGGGTGGTGTGACAAGGTACAGAACGGCAGGCAGGCAGAATGGACAAAACTAGAAAACAGGAACTTGATAAAGACAGGAGCAAGGGGAAAAACGCTGGTAGGCTTGACGAAACAAAACTAGGGGTGCCTGGCGTCCTACCTGGGCGCATACCTGGTTGACCGGGGTGCCGGCGTTGAAACTCAGCGATGAGGCCTGGGTCCAGGATGTCCCTAGCGGGGACCAAGCACCTCTCCTCCGGGCCATAACCCTCCCAGTCAACCAGGTACTTGAATCCCCTGCCCCGAGGTCGAACCTTCAGGAGACGCCTCACCTTGTACGCCAGTTGGCCGTCGAGGAGACGGGGGAGTGGGGTGGGCCTGGAAACAGGAGACAAAGGGCTGTGAGACATGGGTTTGATCCTAGACACATGAAAAGTGGGATGTATACGGAAGACGAACGGCAGAGGGGCTAATGACTTGGAGATGGGGAAAAGGGCCGATAAACCGGGGGGAAAGTTTGCGGGACTCCACCAGGAGGGGCAGATCTCGGGTGGACACACAATGAACAGATGTTCCGCCCCCTCCAGCCAGTGCCTCCACTCCTCCAACACCATCTTCACCGCGAGAAGCTCATGATTCCCCACATCGTAATTCCTCTCCGTGGTGTTGAGGCGATGGGAGAAGAAGGCGCAGGGATGTAACTTGAGGTCCAGGGCCGAACGCTGGGACAGGACCGCCCCCACTCTGACATCCGAAGCATCGGCCTCCACCACGAACTGGCGGGACGGGTCAGGATGAACCAAGATGGGAGCAGTGGTGAAACAGTGTTTGAGGTCCTGGAAGGCCCGGTCAGCAGCTGGGGACCATGTGAATGGAACCTTGGGAGAGGTGAGTGCAGACAGGGGGGAAGCCAGGGTGCGGCGATAAAAGTTGACGAATCCCAGGACATGTTGCAGCTGTACTCTGGACATAGGCTGGGGCCAATCCACCACCGCTCTCACCTTCCCGGGATCCATCTGTACACTTCCTGCAGCGATGATGTCGCCCAGGAAGGGGATGGTGGAGCGATGGAATTCACAAAAAGCTGGTTCTTCAAGAGGCGTTGGAGGACCTGTCGGACGTGGAGCACATGTTCTTGGGCGGAGCGGGAGAAGACGAGGATGTCGTCGAGGTAGACGAAGACGAACCGGTTCAACATGTCGCGGAGAACATCATTAACCAGGGCCTGGAACACAGCTGGAGCATTGGTAAGGCCAAATGGCATGACCAAATACTCGTAGTGAACGCTGGCCATGTTGAAGGCAGTCTTCCACTCGTCCCCCTCCCGTATCCGCACCAGGTGGTAGGCGTTCCATAGGTCCAGCTTGGAGAACACGTTGGCCCCCTGGAGCAGCTCGAAGGCAGAGGAGATGAGTGGTAGCGGGTAGCGGTTCTTCACCATGATATCGTTGAGGCCCTGGTAGTCGATGCACGGGCACAGGATTTTGTCCTTCTTCTCCACAAAGAAGAACCCTGCGCAAGCAGGGGGAGGCAGAAGGACGGATGAACCCGGCAGCTAGGGAGTCCTCAATGTAGGTTCTCCTAAGCCTTGGTCTCCGGACCCGACAGCGAGTACAGTCATCCTTGGGGTGGAGTGGTGCCTGGGACAAGGTCGATTCCACAGTAATGGGTCGGTGTGGCGGAAGCGAAGTGGCCCGGGCATTACTGAACACCTCCCAGAGGTCCTGGTACTCCGCGGGAATGGCAGAGAGATCCGAGGAAACTTCCGAGCCCCCAGGACGTCCCGGGGCAGGCTGCGCAGACTTCAGGCAATGAGCGTGGCAGAACGGGCTCCAGCCCATGAGGGCACCAGTAGACCAGTCAATAAAGGGGTTGTGTCGCTGGAGCCAAGAGAAACCCAATACCACGGGAACCTGAGACGACTTAATTAGCAGGAATTGGATCGTCTCGCTGTGGTTCCCTGATACTCGTAGGTTGATGGGGGTGGTATTGTGGGTGACCCGGCCTATAGAGCGCCCATCCAGCGCTCTAACATCTATGGGAATGGAGAGGGGCTGAGTGGGGATGCCCAGCTCAGATGCCAGGGTAGCGTCCATAAAGCGCTCATCGGCCCCAGAGTCGACGAGTACCCGGAGAGATTGACTGGTTCCCCCACAGCACGACAGCATGAAAGGGGGTGCGAGTAAGGGGAGAGGAAAAGTTATCCGTATGGCCCACCAGAGTACTCGCTCCTACCGGTGAGTCAATGCAAGGCTCCTACCGGTGAGCCTTGCATTGACTCGGGAAGAGGTGAATCGGCAGACTTCGGAGACTCTCTGGGGGAACTTGGGTAGCCTCGGGTTCTCTCGGCAACGGAGCCGTCGGGGACTTCCGGGATGCCTCGGAGGCGAGGTGGAATCGGACTTCCTCTCCTTCCTTCATTCCCGTAGTCGTCCATCGATCCGAATGGTCAAGGCGATGAGTGAGTCGAGATCCGTCGGTAGTTCCCGGGCTGCAAGCTCATCCTTAACTTCCTCCGATACTCCGTGCAGGAACGTGTCGAACAGCGTTTCCAGGGTTCCAGGCACACTCCACTGCCAACGTGCAGAAATCCACTGCATAGTCTGCCACACTGTGGGATTCTTGCCAAAGCTGGAGTAACTTCCGGGCAGCCTCTCTCCCGGACAATGGAGCATCGAAAACCTTTACCTCCTGCATGAACTCCTCCAGACTGAAGCATACGCCCCGACTGTTGTTCCCACACTTCCGTAGCCCAGGCGAGAACCCTCCCGGACATCAGCGTGATGAGGTGCGCTATCTTAGAGCGGTCTGAGGGAAAGGAGGAGGGCTGCAGCTCGATGATGAGGGAACATTGAGCGAGAAATGCCCGAGAGGTTCCCGACTCTCCAGCGAAGTGTTCAGGGGGAGGTAAGCGGGGTTCTCGGGAAACCGGGATGGCCGGGGAGGCAGCGCTGCTAACAGTCGGGTTACTGAGGGGTTGGAAGGTTTCCGTTGTGGTAGGCTACCTAACAGACAACCCGCGGAATTGCTCCAGCAATGTGTTCGGCCAAGGTCTGGAACCCTTCCATGAGACCACGAAGCAACTCCTCGTGCCTTCCAATGGTGGCTCCTTGGGAGGAGATGGCGTTGCGGAGCTGGTCCGAGTCTGCTGGGTCAGTCATGGCCAGTTCGTAATATCATGTTTCAGGAGAAGCCCCAGATGCAGACAGTGTCGAAGTAACAAAAGTTTATTACAAAAACAGGGGGCAGGCAAACGACAGGTCAAGGGCAGGCAGAGGTCAGTAATCCAGATCAGAGTCCAAAAGGTACAGAACGGCAGGCAGTCTGGACAAAACCGGGAAAACAGGAACTTGAAAATGACAGGACCAAGGGGAAAACCGCTGGTAGGCTTGACGAAACAAAACGAACTGGCAACAGACAAATAGAGAACACAGGTATAAATACACTGGGGATAATGGGGAAGATGGGCGACACCTGGAGGGGGGTGGAGACAAGCACAAAGACAGGTGAAACAGATCAGGGTGTGACAGGTTTGCCATAATAAAGGTGTTGAATACTTATTGACTCAAGGTTTTTATTTTTGATTAATTTGTAAAAATAAAATAAAACATCATTCCAGTGACACAAAATCTCAATTTAATCCATTTTAAATTCAGGCTGTAACACAACAAAATGTGGGAAAAGTCAAGGGGTGTAAATACTTTCTGAAGGCACTGTACATGTACAGTACCAGCTCGAGCTGGTTTGACAACTAACCTTCACACAAACAACTAAACCAAAAATGGAGACTAGAGATAGGTGTTGTTTTTACCTTGTGTATCTGTGCTTTTATTGAAATAATACATCTGTATGTTGACACACATGGTCAATTGACAGAACATAAAAATAGCTTTTGACAACAAGCACTGTTCACATTAAGTAATAAATTAACAAATGCGTCACAACAAAAGACTGGTCAAATTTGGATTCAATTACACACACATACTGTACTTAAGCACAGACACAAACACACTCACTCTTACAGGCACACAGAAGCAATGCTTATTCATACACACACATGCACACACAAAATATTGAAATCACAGTCACACGTGGAGCTGATTTGATAAGTAATAAAGGTTTCTTTATAACATTTACCCTTTCAAAAGTGTTGAATTGTTTAACACTGGTCTCGTACACACAAGGCATCTATAATAGACAGACTACAGCCAAGTTATAATCCAACACCACAATCTTCAAGTTTGGGGTGAGATTAACAACAACACTGATATATATTACTCAATAATAGTCAATAGAATGATTTGAAATAATCCATGATATACTGCATTTTATATATACTATGTACAGAAAATAAATAATGGAGGGAAATACATTTACACCCGAAACGACACTTCTCACTTCCACTACACTGTATATGTTATCATCTGAATATTCAAATAGTGTTGATGACTTACGCTTCATATGAATCTGTGTATATATAATACATATATCATGTTTTTAAGACTGATATATCTACTGGTTTGAATAAATATAGATAGCAAGACAGATACACAGTACTGTAAATACAGAAAGCTAAAACATACATGGCTAAATATAGCACAATGCACAAGACAGCACTTTGCAATCCATATTGGGTTTCATACAGACAACATAGTGGAACAGTATGATTTTCAATAGGTTTCTGTGACGTGATATGTCGATAGTGTCGGATGGATGGATGATGACGGCATTTGCCGCTGAAACATGCGTGGATGAGAGGGGGGCGACTTCTTCTCCCTCTCGGATTGGTTGGATGAGAACTGATGACGAACAGAGGATGTCCTCCTCTCCTCCTTTTGTCTCTTGGTCAGACGCTCCTTCAGCTCTAGTCGAACTTGTAGCTGCGGTCATTGCGGTCGCTGCGTTCACTGGAGAGACAGACGTGTGGAGAGATGAGGAGAAAACTGGATTCAGACTAATTTAGGTGACGATGATTTACCAGTGTCCCCAACCTTAAACACATGACGTATCGTAAACCACATCCGACTACAGCATGTACTCAAACAACAACAAAAGGTAGGAATGAGTCTTGCATGAAACAAATGTTGAACAGGATTGAATATGCTATAAAACAAGAAGAGAACCATAATGGTGAACCATATCTTTTAACAGTAATTTTAGCACTTTTAATGACCTTTCAAATATAAAGTAATTGCGTAGAATGTCTATTCAAAAGAAAAGAAAATACTTCTTCATCTTGTCGGCTAGCTTTCATCAAATCTGGCTTCAGAACTACTCGTAAGGAGAAACTTACGAGACAAAAAAACAGCAATCTAGGACCCTAAAGTTCTGCAGTCTTGCTGCTTTTGTTTCTCCCTGGCACTTGATGTCACCGATTGGGTGGAGAGAGTGCATTCACCTGGTTTCCCAGGTAGAAGCCAGTCTGTAGTTCAATGGGCTTGAGGACTGAGTCTATGCACCCCTGATATAGAATAAGTGGTGTCCATTGTCAGAGACTATCACAGTAGGTTCATATCAGCCTCAAATTGACATTATGAACAATACGTCATGGTAGGTCATGACATAGGATGGGAATGATCATAAGGTTGTCTTATGTAATGTTTTTATTACATAGACATGATTGAGGCACAGGAGTGGCAGGTATGTCATGCATATAAATCTTTAATAACAACCTCATAACGCGGTCATTATAATGACATGAGATGTTATAAAATGTCTTGACAGCTGATGTCAGTATACCTAAACAATAGCTTCTTTAATGACAAGTGTTAAATCAGTTTCCATAAGCTGATATATTTGACTGCAACTGCATATGCTTGAAATGTAATTGTGTGATCATTGTAATGTAGAATCTGGTCGCTCATAGCACAAGTTGGCCAGAGGGTATTTCTCGTAAAGGGAAATAGATACAGGAACAATCTCAGAAGTGCTAGCAGGTCCTTCTAGAGCTCTAAAACATTGGTATCATTGTAATGAAGCTGAATAAGGGAAGCTATTTCCTAAAGCTAGAAGAGGCAGTTAGGGAAGCTAGTTAAATGTCTGGGTAGCTAGCCTCGTAGCTAGCCTCGTAGCTAGCCTCGTAGCTAGCCTCGTAGCTAGCCTCGTAGCTAGCCTCGTAGCTAGCCTCGTAGCTAGCCTCGTAGCTTCTACTGATGCCCTTACCCTCAGCGACAGCTTAAATTCGGATGTGGTTGGCGTCATCCAACCTGGTGATGACAAAATGAGATCACACCGGTCAACGACTGATACTCTGACTGCATTGGCAGTCAGTGGGCAAGTAAAGTGATAGTATGACAACTTTATTCATAGCCCTCTTCAAGAACATAAACAAGCGTGATACAGTGTTTCATGTTCATAAGATCCCATTTGTGTCAGTGTGTCAGTGAAATAAGCAATACTGATATACTAGTATTTCTACTATACTAGTTATACTACTAGTAATATAGTAAATCATGTTTTTTTTTACTTTAGCCTTAAATATGTGCCTGTTGTTGTGTATCCTTGTTGTAATATTCACAGAGATAGAAATGGAGTAATGGATATGCAGGAGAGGCAGGCAGGGTTATAAAGTCAAAGAAAGGAGGTGATTGGGTGGCTGTGATTGAGTCGCATGCAGGCAGGGTGAAGGTGATTGCGTGGGTTGGAAAGGGGGAGGGGTTGGGGAGTACTCACGCCCCCTCGTCTCTGAGAAGCTGCAGGAACTTAGTGACTCTGTATTCCACATCCATCTGGAGATCAGGAAGCAGGAAACCAAAGATGAACCCCAGTGCATTACAGAAGAAAAAGAAGAAGAAGAAAAAGAAGACACATTGACAGTGCAAATATGTGGCATTATAAAACCGTTTGCACCACTTCTTGAGGCATGAGACCTTTCTAGCGACCATAGCTACTGGATGACGCTTGTGGTCGACTGTTCTGCAGCTGAACGATGACGAGGAGGAGGAGTGCTGATTGACACTGACCTGCAGAGACATTTCAATGAGCATTAGGAGCTTCTTGATGCCAATCCAGACCCTCTTTCCTTTGACGTGCTGGCCGATGGTGACCCGCTCTGCATCCGTGAAGCTTCCCAGTAGCTGGAATGGATACAATGTCAATGAGTAAACAAATGGCACACAAGACAAGACAGTAGCATTAACTACTACAAACCTTCATCGATATTTATATTTTGTGTGTGTGTGTGTGTGTGTGTGTGTGTTTGCTTGTTCGTTCGTGTGACTGTGTGTGTGGTGTGTACCTCTAGGGCTTCCACCAGGTGTTCTCCAGTAGAGATGTTGGGGACGTGGATGGTGGTACTGAAGGCGTCCAGCATCTCCATCTCCTGCAGCACCTCCTTACGGCTGGTGGTTCCGATAATCAGCAGCTTACGGCCCTGTAGGCAGAGTAAAGCACAGGCAGAGTTACACACACGCACATGCATGCACACAAACGCGCATACACACACACAGACTGGTGTAAATAAACTCATTAATATAACGCAACACCTACATTAAGCAATGCAACCATGCCAATGCTGTAATGAACACTGAACACTCACTTTAGGAGGAGTCTTCTTCAGCAGCACCAGCAGGGCCTGGAGAACCATGTTGGAGAAGCGAGGTCCAATGGGAACATAGTCTAAAGGAGTGGAGCACAAAGAAATCAGAACAGTACTTCAGACAGGACCCACTAGTGTTGCTGCTGATTCCTTTAGGTTTGAAGACCGGGTCTTGGCTTTAAAATACAGTGCTTTGTTTATCTGCAGCGTCATTGGAAAGTTAAAAAGAGATACGAGTTTGTTGCTCCACTAGCGACGGAATTAGGAGGTCCACTAGACTAAAAGGAGAATGAGGTTTCAGAGGAATGAGGAGGTAAATAATCACCTAGGAGACGCTCAATGTCATCCACCACCACACAGCTCAACTGAGACTTGTAGGCATCCTCGAAGATCTGAGGGAAGGAAGGCAGGGGATACAGAGTTAAATAACACAAAAATACTGTATAATAATACCATACAGTAAGTATTGGTAATAATCTCTTTCTTCTGCTCTTAGTTGTTATCGATACGTCAGATAGGAAAAGGGGGGAGAGAAGTAGCTAGTAAAGAGAGCGGTGGACCCAGGGATCCAACCCCCAACTCTATGGGGCAATGCGTGGTCCAGAGTCAGCAGTGCTACAACTAGTCTACCATTCAACCAGATTCTGGCACAGTGGCCATCTATTTCTATGGGCATGGTGCCAGTCTTACAAAGACATTGGGGTCGAAACACTTAATACAACTTAATAAAACTGCAGGAGCATTCAACAGTGTGCAGGTATCTATCTTTCTTTCATGGTGCCTGGCTTCACACCCACCTTCTTGATAGCCAGGCACTTGGAGTTTTCGGAGAACCCAATCATCTTGTCCGGGGAACAGATCTTGATGAAGGGGAACTCTGAGCTCTCCGAGATTTGGGCAGCCAGGGCCGTCTTTCCACTGTGAGGGGGTCCTAAGAGGACAGATGGACAAATAAAGACTGTTAGAGAGAGAGGGGGGGGCTGTTTTTCAACTGTGTGTGTGCGCTTAAGTGTGTGAGCTCCACCTGCATGTGCCTACGCTCACTTGCGTGTGTGTATGTGTGTTCGCTCACACGTGTGTGTGTGTGTGTGTGTGTGTGTGGTCTACCCTCCAGTAGCACGGCCACCAGCGGTGTGCGGTCGCTGTTCTTGGTCTGCTGCACCAGCAGCTCCCCGTCATCCAGTACACGGGTCACAGGGTCGCCCCACTTGATGATGCCGTTCATGATGTAGCTGGCGTAGTCCTCCTGGTTGGAACCAAATGCCTGGGGGAGGAAGAGGGGGAGGATGAGGAGAAGGGGGTGGAAGGGTTAGGAGGAGGAAGAAGAAGGAGGGGAGGAGAAAGAGGAGGGGGAAGAACTCTTTAGGATTGGAATGATAGTCTAAGGGTCAATCTCAAATGACACCCTATTCACTTTGTGTACTATCCTTCGTAAATACACATATAGTAGAGGGACACTTACTGGTTTAATGTCGTTGTTCAGGGAGCCCAAGAAGTCGCTTCTGGTGACCTGCAGCTTCTCGGCTCTCTCTGTGTCCACCTCCACTGTGGCTGTGGCCTGGACACGCAGAAAGACATTTCAGTCTGATCTGACTGTGATATACAGTAGACGTAACAAAGGACAGAGTTATGGCAGATATGACTAAAAGCCTCTAAAAGCACATTGCTAAGGGGTGGAGTCTAACCATGTCATGGGTGTTCAAAGCTGTCAATTGGATAGTCTAACCATATTGTGGATGATCATGTTTGTTGATGGGTTGGACTCGAACCTTAATGTGGCGATTCATGGCTGTTGATTGGGCAGCTCTGACCAGCCCCTCCAGTTCAGCACCACTGTAGTTCTTGGTCCCGGCAGCCAGCTCCTTCACGTCCACATCAGGAGCCAGCAGGCCAAAGTCACGCATCTTATTAGTGTGAATGTTGAGAATCTGAACACGCCCTTTCTCATCCGGAAGACCTGAGAGGGAGGGAGGGAGGGAGGGGGAGGGAGGGAGAAAATAAATAAATAAAGGGAGGGAGAGAGGTCCCTACAATAATACAATAAAGGGTGGAGAAACATACGAAAAGGAACAACCCATGAGATAAAGGGGAAGGCACAGAGAGATGTGTGGTTCTTACCGATCTCCATCTTGACCTCAAACCTGCCAGGCCTCATCAGAGCATCATCTATCAGGTCAGGCCTGTTGGTCATCCCTGTGGGAAAGAGAAAGAGAGAGGGGGGGATATAAAGATGGAGTTTGTAGTTAGACCAGAGTCATGTATTCATCTCTGTTGCTATGTGAGGCTTAAGGTAAGATTGGTATCTATACCTCAAATTACATTTAGACAAACTGACACCTAGATGTTCAGCAAAGTTCAACAACTATAACAGGTATACTTTTATAGGACAGCATACCACTACCTATCTATGACCAGTATGTTATACGACAGCGTACCACTACCTACCTATGACCAGTATGTTATACGACAGCGTACCACTACCTACCTATGACCAGGATGTACCTACCTATGACCAGGATGTTGTTGAGCTGCTCTACTCCATCTATCTTGGACAGCAGCTGGTTGACCACCGTGTCGTGGACTCCTGTACTGCCTTGCCCAGTACCTCTCTGCTTACAGATGGCATCCAGCTCATCAAAAATGATTATGTGCAGACCACTGTTAGCACCCAGCTAGGAGAGAAGAGAGGGGAGAGTAGGAAGAGTGGATGAAGAGAAAGAGAGAGAGACAGTCAGTCATGCATGTACGTATAACATTTGTTTGTGATTTTCTCATCGTGGATGGATTTTTTTGTTCGATTAATTACTTGTGGTCATCAAAAACAAGATGGCGGCTGGTACTCACCCTCTTCTGCTCCTCTTCTGCGTCTGCGAAGAGCTTGCGGATGTTGGCCTCAGACTCTCCCACAAACTTGTTGAGGATCTCAGGGCCGTTGACGATCTTGGGCTCGCGGGAGTTGAGCATCTTGCCAATCTGCCTGGCCATCAGAGTCTTACCACAACCAGGAGGCCCAAAGAGAAGGATTCCCTTCACGTGCTTACAACCTGGGGGGCAATGGAACAACGACTGTCTATAGACCAACGCTTCTCAATCTCTGAATCTTTGAAAGCACAGCATACTCCAGTTGTGTACACAGACAATTTAGTTTGTGACAAATTATCGCTAGGAGGCACCGAGGCACGATGTTGCACATGCATTGCGACAATTGTTCTGCCAATACCATGGCTCGACCGTACTTTTTTGTGTCCTCAACTGTAGGTAGTACTGCATGATCTGACTAAGACTAAGGAGTTGGGTGCCTTACCCATCTGTTCCACGATGTCAGGAGGGAAGACACGAGAGGCAAAGGCTCGGCGGAAGATGTCGGAGAACTCCTTGTCCAGACCACCAATGCCCATGCGCTCAAAGTTCCAGTCCGGGTTGATGATGGACTGACGCTGCTCTTTGGTCTTGGCCTTGCCTAGTGGGCAGAGAGGAATCAAATACAACTTTACAATGAAAAGTGTAACAATGGATAAAGAATGGTTATTTTCCCATGGTTGCAGGATTTGATCAATCTTGGTATATTTGGTTTATTTTGACAAATCTAAATCAAAAATCTAATCAAGGTTTATTGGTCACGTACACAGATTTGCAGATGTTACAGCAGGTGCAGGTAAATGCTTGTGTTTATAGCTCCAACAGTGCAGTAATACCTAGCAATGACAATGAAAACCTAAAACAACAACACACATAATCCAGAAAAATAAAGAAATTAAGAAATATCAGAACGAGCAATGTCAGAATATATATATACACAGTACCAGTCAAAAGCTTGGACACACCTACTCATTCAAGGGTTTTTCTTTATTTTTACTATTTTTTACATTGTAGAATAATAGTGAAGACATCAAAACTATGAAATAACACATATGGAATCATGTAGTAAACAAAAAACAGTGTTAAACAAATCATAATATATTTGAGATTCGTCAATTAGCCACCCTTTGCCTTGATGACAGCTTTGCACACTCTTGGCATTCTCTCAACCAGCTTCACCTGGAATGCTTTTCCAACAGTCTTGAAGGAGTTCCCACATATGCTGAGCACTTGTTGGCTGCTTTTCCTTCACTCTGTGGTCTGACTCATCCCAAACCATCTCAATTTGGTTGAGGTCGGGGTATTGTGGAGGCCAGGTCATCTGATGCAGCACTCCATCACTCTCCTTCTTGGTCAAATAGCCCTTACACCGCCTGGAGGTGTGTTGGGTCATTGTCCTGTTGAAAAACAAATGATAGTCCCACTAAGCCCAAACCAGATGGGATGGCGTATCGCTGTAGAATGCTGTGGTAGCCATGCTGGTTAAGTGTGCCTTGAATTCTAAATAAATCACAGAAAGTGTCACCAGCAAAGCACCCCCACACCATAACACCTCCTCCATCATGCTTTACGGTAGGAAATATACATCCGTTCACCCACACCGCATCTCACAAAGACACGGCGGTTGGAACCAACAATCTCCAATTCGGTCTAATGTCCATTGCTCGTGTTTCTTGGCCCAAGCCGGTCTCTTCTTATTGGTGTCCTTTAGTAGTGGTTTCTTTGCAGCAATTTGACCATCAAGGCCTGATTCACACAGTCCCCTCTGAACAGTTGATATTGAGATGTGTCTGTTACTTGAAATCTGTGAATAATTTATTTGGGCTACAATTTCTGAGGCTGGTAACTCTAATGAACTTATCCTCTGCAGCAGAGGTAACTCTGGGTCTTCCATTCCTGTGGCGGTCCTCATGAGAGCCAGTTTCATCATAGCGCTTGATGGTTTTTGCAACTGCACTTGAAGAAACTTTCAAAGTTCTTGAAATGTTCCATTTTGACTGACCTTCATTCTTAAAGTAATGATGGACTGTCGATTCTCTTTGCTTATTTGGGCTGTTCTTGCCATAATATGGACTTGGTCTTTAACCAAATAGGGCAATCTTCTGTATATCCCCCTTACCTTGTCACAACACAACTGTAATTTGTACGCTGGGAATCGGGAAGCAAGGACAGGGAGTGAATTTAATAATAAATAATACATCGAACAAAACAAGAAACACAAGTAGCGTACAGACATGAAACACAAACATAGAGTCAACAACGCATGGGGAAGTAACCAAAGGGAGCGACACATATAGGGGAGGTAATCAGAAAGGTGATTGAGTCCAGGTGTGCCTGATGATGACGTGCAGGTGCGCGTAATGATAAATCCCAGGACCGGTGACCTTGAACGCCGGAGAGAGATTACACGTGACAGTACTCCCCTCCTGATGCGCGGCTCCAGCCGCATGACGACGCCGACCAGAGGGACGGTCCCGAGGACCAGGGACGGAACAGTCGCTTCTCCTGAGACCCGGGACCCAGTCGCTTCTGCTGCGGAGCCTGTAGAGCCAGCTGAGACATGGGAACCTGTCGAGCCAGCTGAGGCATGGGAACCTGTCGAGCCAGCTGAGACATGGGAACCTGTCGAGCCAGCTGAGGCATGGGGACCTGACGATCCAGCTGAGGCATGGGAACCTGACGATCCAGCTGAGGCATGGGAACCTGACGAGCCGGCTGAGGCTTGGGAGCCTGCAGAGCCTAACGAGTCTTGTAAACCTGGCGAGCCAGCTGAGACATGGGAACCTGTCGAGCCAGCTGAGACATGGGAACCTGACGATCCAGCTGAGGCATGGGAACCTGACGATCCAGCTGAGGCATGGGAACCTGACGAGCCGGCTGAGGCATGGGAACCTGGCGAGCCAGCTGAGACATGGAAGCCTAACGAGCTAGCTGAGGCATCCTCGGTAGATTCGGCAACGGACGCTTGACGGGCCAACCAGGTCTTGTGAACCTGACGTGCCGGCTGAGGCATGGAAGCCTGACGAGCCACCTGAGGCATCCCCGGTTGCTCCGGTAGCGGCACCCGGACCCGACGTCACCTAACAAAAAAACACTCCCTGATGCTTCCCTTTGGTGAGGCGTTATTCTGTAACATGTACGCTGGGAGTCGGAAAGCAAGTACAGGGAGTGAATTTAATAATAAATAATACATGGAACAAAACAAGAAACACGAGTAGCGTACAAACATGAAACACAGGAACAGAATCAATAACGCCTAGGGAAATAACCAAAGGGAGTGACATATATAGGGGAGGTAATCAGGAAGGTGATTGAGTCCAGGTGTGCCTGATGATGACGTGCAGGTGCGCGTAATGATGAATCCCAGGATCGGTGACCTCGAACGCCGGAGAGGGAGAGGGAGTATGGCTCAAACGCATTAAGAAGGAAAGAAATTCCACAAATTAACGTTTAAGAAGGCACACCTGTTAATTTAAATGCATTCCAGGTGACTACCTCATGAAGCTGGTTGAGAGTGCCAAGCGTGTGCAAAGCTGTCATCAAGGCAAATGGTGGCTATTTGAAGAATCTCAAATATAAAATATTTGTTTGGTTACTACATGATTCCATATGTGTTACAGTGCCATGCAAAAGTATTCATCCCCCTTGGCGTTTTTACTTTTACTATGTTGTTTCATTACAACCTGTAATTTAAATTGATTTTTATTTGGATGTCATGTAATGGACATACACAAAATAGTCCAAATTGGTGAAGTGAAAAAAATAACTTGTTTCATAAAATTCTAAAAAATAAATAACGGAAAAGTGGTGCGTGCATATTTATTCACCCCCTTTGCTATGAAGCCCCTAAATAGATCTGGTGCAATGAATTACCTTCAGAAGTCACATAATTAGTTATATAAAGTCCACCTGTGTGCAATCTAAGTGTAACATGATCTCAGTATATATACACCTGTTCTGAAAAGGCCCCAGAGTCTGCAACACCACTAAGCAAGGGGCACCACCAAACAAGCGGCACCATGAAGACCAAGGAGCTCTCCAAACAGGTCAGGGACAAAGTTGTGGAGAAGTACAGATCAGGGTTGGGTTATAAAAAAATATCAGAAACTTTGAACATCCCACGGAGCACCATTAAATCAATTATTAAAAAATTGAAAGAATATGGCACCACAACAAACCTGCCAAGAGAGGGCCGCCCACCAAAACCCACAGACCAGGCAAGGAGGGCATTAATCAGAGAGGCAACAAAGAGACCAAAGATAACCCTGAAGGAGCTGCAAAGCTCTACAGCGGAGATTTTAGTATCCGTCCATAGGACCACTTTAAGCCGTACACTCCCCAGAGCTGGGCTTTAAGTGGCCAGAAAAAAGCCATTGCTTAAAGAAAAAAAAAAGAAAACACGTTTGGTGTTCGCCAAAAGGCTTGTGGGAGACTCCCCAAACATATGGAAGAAGGTACTCTGGACAGATGAGAATAAAATTTAGCTTTTTGGCCATCAAGGAAAACGCTATGTCTGGCGCAAAGCCAACACCTCTCATCACCCCGAGAACACCATCCCCACAGTGAAGCATGGTGGTGGCAGCATCATGCTGTGGAGATGATTTTCATTGGCAGGAACTGCGAAACTGGTCAGAATTGAAGGATTGATGGATGGCGCTAAATTCAGGGAAATTCTTGAGGGAAACCTGTTTCAGTCTTCCAGAGATTTGAGACTGGGACAGAGGTTCACCTTCCAGCAGGACAATGACCCTAAGTGTCACACCCTGGCCTTAGTTATCTTTGTTTTCATTAATGTTTTAGTTAGGTCAGGGTGTGACATGGTGAAGTATGTGTTTTGGTTTGTCTAGGGGTTTGTAGGTTTAATGGGGTAATGTCTTGTCTAGGTGTTTGTATGTTGATGGCTGCCTAGATTGGTTCTCAATTGGAGACAGCTGTGGTTATTTGTCTCTAATGGGGAGCCATATTTAAGGCAGCCATGGGCATCATGTGTTTGTGGGTAATTGTCTAGGTTGAACGTTTGTTGCTTGTCTGTGCACTTACGTTATTTAGCTTCACGGTCGTTTGTTGTTTTGTTAGTTTTGGATAGTGTTCGGTTTCGTGTTTTTCTCTCTTCCAAAATAAAGAGATGTATTTTGCACACGCTGCGCCTTGGTCCAATATCTCACAAGAAGACGATCGTGACAGAATTACCCACCATACCAGGACCAAGCAGCGTGTCCAGGAGCCAAGGGTCTGGACATGGGAGGAGATTGTGGATGGTAAAGGGTCTTGGACTTGGGAGGAGATCCTGGATGGGATGGATCGCCGGCCATGGAGTGAAACAGTGGAGAGGCGACTGAGAGAGGAGCAACGGCGTCAGCAGGGCCATCGTCGGAAGGACGAGAGGCAACCCCAAAAAGTTTTTTGGGGGGGGCACATGGCTTGGGCGGCTGGGCAGCAGGAGGCTGCCACAGGGAGACGTGGAGAGAAGGCTACCGGATTACGGGAGCCATTGGCGAGTAGAGGGAGGGAAGTAGTTGAGGCACGGCGTAAGAGACTGAGGTGTGTTACCAGTCCGGTCCGGCCCGTTCCTGATCCCCGGTTAAGGCCAGTGGTGTGTGTTCCCAGTACGGACCGGCCTGTTCCTACTCCACGCATCAAGCCCACGGTGTGCGTCGCCAGTCCAGCCCGGTCGGTTCCTGTTCCACGTACAAAGCCTACGGTGTGCGGGGCCAGCCCAGCCCGACCTGTTCCTACTCCACGCATCAAGCCCACGGTGTGCGTCGCCAGTCCAGCCCGGCCTGTTCCTGCTCCACGTACTAAGCCTACGGTGTGCGTCGCCAGCCCAGCCCGGCCTGTTCCTGCTCAACGCACTAGCCCTGAGATGCGTGTCCTCAGCCCGGGACCACCAGTTCCGGCACCACGCACTAGGCCTTATGTGCGTCCCCAGGGTCCAGCATGCCCTGTTGCTGCTCCCCGCACTAGCCCTGAGATGCGTGTCCTCAGCCCGGGACCACCAGTTCCGGCACCACGCACTAGGCCTTATGTGCGTCCCCAGGGTCCAGCATGCCCTGTTCCTTCTCCCCGCACTAGCCCTGAGATGCGTGTCCTCAGCCCGGTACCTCCAGTTCCGCAACCACGCACCAGGCCTATAGTGCGTCTCGGCCGGCCAGAGTCTGCCGTCTGCCCAACGGCGCCTGAACTGCCCGTCTGCCCAACGCCGTCTGAACTGTCCGTCTGCCAAGCGCTGCATGAACTGCCCGTCTGTACTGAGCCTGCTAAGCCGCCCGTCTGCCATGAGCCTTCAGAGCCGTCCGCCAGACCGGAGCCGCTAAAGCCTTCCGCCAGACAGGATCGGCCAGAGCCTTCCGCCAGCCATGAGCAGCCGGATCCGTCAGCCAGCCATGAGCAGCCAGATCCTTCAGCCAGCCATGAGCAGCCAGATCCGTCAGCCAGCCATGAGCAGCCAGATCCGTCAGCCAGCCATGAGCCGTCCAGCCAGGATCCGCCAGAGCCGTCCAGACAGGATCAGCCAGAGCCTTCCGCCAGACAGGATCAGCCAGAGCCTTCCGCCAGACAGGATCAGCCAGAGCCTTCCGCCAGACAGGATCCGCCAGAGCCGGCCAGACAGGATCCGCCAGAGCCGTCCAGACAGGATCAGCCAGAGCCTTCCGCCAGACAGGATCAGCCAGAGCCTTCCGCCAGACAGGATCAGCCAGAGCCTTCCGCCAGACAGGATCCGCCAGAGCCGTCCAGACAGGATCCGCCAGAGCCGTCCAGCCAGGATCCGCCAGCCAGCCAGGATCCGCCAGAGCCAGCCAGCCAGGATCCGCCATTCAGTCCGGTGCTGCCCCTTAGCTCGGTGCTGCCCCTTATCCTGGTGCTGCCCCTTATCCTGGTGCTGCTCCTTATCCTGGTGCTGCCCCTTATCCTGGTGCTGCCCCTTAGTCCGGTGCTGCCCCTTAGTCCGGTGCTGCCCCTTAGTCCGGTGCTGCCCCTTAATCCAGTGGGGTTAAATTGGAGGGTGGTCATTTGGAGGAGGCTACGAAAGCGGGTAGTGACTATGGTGGGGTGGGGACCACGACCAGTGCCAGAGCCGCCACCGTGGACAGACGCCCACCCAGACCCTCCCCTAGACTTTATGCTGGTGCGCCCGGAGTTCGCACCTTAAGGGGGGGGTTATGTCACACCCTGGCCTTAGTTATCTTTGTTTTCATTAATGTTTTAGTTAGGTCAGGGTGTGACATGGTGAAGTATGTGTTTTGGTTTGTCTAGGGGTTTGTAGGTTTAATGGGGTAATGTCTTGTCTATGTGTTTGTATGTTGATGGCTGCCTAGATTGGTTCTCAATTGGAGACAGCTGTGGTTATTTGTCTCTAATGGGGAGCCATATTTAAGGCAGCCATGGGCATCATGTGTTTGTGGGTAATTGTCTAGGTTGAACGTTTGTTGCTTGTCTGTGCACTTACGTTATTTAGCTTCACGGTCGTTTGTTGTTTTGTTAGTTTTGGATAGTGTTCGGTTTCGTGTTTTTCTCTCTTCCAAAATAAAGAGATGTATTTTGCACACGCTGCGCCTTGGTCCAATATCTCACAAGAAGACGATCGTGACACTAAGCATACTACTAAAGCAACACTTGAGTGGTTTAAGGGGAAACATTAAAATGTCTTGAATAGCCTAGTCAAAGCCCAGACCTCAATCCAATTGAGAATCTGTGGTATGACTTAAAGATTGCTGTACACCAGTGGAACCCATCCAACTTGAGGGAGCTGGAGCAGTTTTGCCTTGAAGAATGGGCAAAAATCCCAGTGGCTAGATGTGCCAAGCTTATAGAGACATACCCCAAGAGACTTGCAGCTGTAATTGCTGCAAAAGGTGGCTCTACAAAGTATTGACTTTGGGGGGGTGAATAGTTATGCACGCTCAAGTTCTCTGTGTTTTTGTCTTATTTCTTGTTTGTTTCACACAAAAAACATATTTTGCATCTTCAAAGTGGTAGGCATGTTGTGTAAATCAAATGATACAAACCCCCAAAAATTCATTTTAATTCCAGGTTGTAAGGGAACAAAATAGGAAAAATGCCAAGGGGGGTGAATCCTTTCGCAAGCCACTGTATTTCATAGTTTTGATGTCTTCACTATTATTCTACAATGTAGAAAATAGTAAAAATAAAGAAAAACCCTTGAATGAGTAGGTGTGTCCAAACTTTTGACTGGTACTGTGTATATATATATATGGTGTGTAAAGACAAAATAGACAGTATATGAATAGAAAAAGTGTGTACAGCAGTAGTTATATAGGACAAGACACACAGTATATACATATAAAGTGGGTAAAACAGTATGTAAACATTATTAAAGTTACCAGTGTTTAATGACTATCTACTGTATGTACATAGGACAGCAGTCTCTAAGGTGCAGAGGAGGGTATCGGGTGGTAGTCGGCTAGAACAGTGACTAAGGCTAGTGGTGACTGTTTAACAGTCTGATGGCCTAGAGATATGAACTGTTTCTCAGTCTCTCAGTCCCAGATTTGATGCACCTGTACTGTCTCCGCCTTCTAGATGGTAGCGGGGTGAATAGGACGTGGCTAGAGTGGCTGGGGCCTTCCTGTGACACCGGGTGCTGTAGATGTCCTGGAAGGCAGGCAGTGTGCCCCGGGTGATGCGTTGGGCTGACCGCAATACCCCCTGGAGATTCCTGCGGTTGCGGACGGTGCAATTGCCCTACCAGGTGGTGATACAGCCTGACAGGATGCTCTCAATGGTACATCTGTAGAAATTCGTGAGGGTCTTAGGGGCCAAGCCAAATGTATTCAGCCTCCTGAGGTTGAAGAGGCGCTGTTGCAACTTCATCACCACGCTCTGCTGTCTCCTGTAATCCACGATCAGCTCCTTCATTTTGTTGACATTGAGGGAGAGGTTATTTTCCTGGCACCACTACGCCACGGCGCTCACCTACTCCCTGTAGGCTGTCTCATCGTTGTTGGTAATCAGGCCTACCAATGTTGTGTCTTCAGCAAACTTGATGATTGAGTTGGAGACGTGCATGGCCACGCAGTAATGGGTGAACAGAGAGTACAGGAGGGGCTGACCACGCACGTCTGTGGCGACCCCGTGTTGAGGATCAGCGTGACAGAGGTGTTGTTGCCTACCTTCACCACTTAGGGTCGGCCCCTTCAGGAAGTCCAGGACCCAGTTGCACAGGGAGAACCAGGGCCCTGAGCTTAGTGATGAGCTTGGAGGGCACTATGGTGTTGAAGGCTGAGTTGTAGTTGATGAACAGCATTCTTTACATAGGTCCAGGTGGGATAGGGCAGTGTGCAGTGCAATGGCGATTGGTTGTCCGTCGATCTGTTGCGGCGATATGCGAATTATAGTGACTAGGGTGTTGGGTAGGGTGGCGGTGATATGGTCCTTAACTAGCCTCTCAAAGTCATTTAGTCATTTAGTTCAGTTACCTTCGCTTTCTTGGGTACAGAGGGGCCCACATCGGCAGCTCGATGTTGTTTTCCTCTAAATGGGCGAAGAAGGTGTTTAGCTCGTCCGGGGAGCGAGGCGTCGGTGTCCGCAACCTGGCTGGCTTTCCCTTTATAATCTGTGATTGTCTGGAGTCCCTGACACATTTGCCTCGTGTCTGAGCCGTTGAATTACGACTCCACTTTGTCCCTGTGCTGTTATTTTGCCTCTTTGATTGCCTTACGGAGGTCATAGTTGGTCTGTTTGTACACGTCCATGTTCCCAGTCTCCTTGCCATGGTTAAATGCGGTGGTTCACGCTTTCAGTTTTGCAAGAATACTGCCTTCTGTCCACAGTTTTTGGATAAGTTCTAATCGTCACAGTGGGAACAACATCCTCAATTGCACTTGCTGATGAACCCCGTCACTGAGTCTGTGTTAACGTCGATACTATTCTCAGAGGAGACCCAGAACATCTCACAGTCCGTGTGATCAAAACAATCTTGAAGCATAGATTACGATTGGTCAGACCAATGATGAACAGTCCTTACCACGGGAGCTTCCTGTTTTAAGTTTCTGCCTATACACTACTGGTCAAAAGTTTTAGAACACCTACTCATTCAAGGGTTTTTCTTTCTTTTTACTATTTTCTACATTGTAGACATCAAAACTCTGAAATAACACATATGGAATCATGTAGTAACCAAAAAAGTGTTATACAACATATTCTTCAAATAGCCACCATTTGCCTTGATGACAGCTTTGCACGCTCTTGGCATTCTCTCAACCAGCTTCACCTGGAATGCTTTTCCAACAGTCTTGAAGGAGTTCCCACATATGCTGAGCACTTGTTGGCTGCTTTTCCTTCACTCTGCGGTCCGACTCATCCCAAACCATCTCAGTTGGGTTGAGGTCGGGGGATTGTGGAGGCCAGGTGATCTGATGCAGCACTCCATCACTCTCCTTCTTGGTAAAATAGCCCTTACACAGCCTAGAGGTGTGTTGGGTCATTGTCCTGTTGAAAAACAAATGATAGTCCCACTAAGCGCAAACCAGATGGGATGGCATATCGATGTAGAATGCTGTGGTAGCAATGCTGGTTAAGTGTGCCTTGAATTCTAAATAAATCACAGAAAGTGTCACCAGCAAAGCACCCCCACACCAAAGACACAGCGGTTGGAACCAAAAATCTCCAATTGTTCTCCCATCTGTCAGAGAGACCATCGGGTTCTTTGTCACCTCCCTGACCAAGGCCCTTCTCCCCCAATTGCTCAGTTTGGCCGGGAGGCCAGCTCTAGGAAGAGTCTTGGTGGTTCCAAACTTCTTCCATTTAAGAATGACGGAGGCCACGGTGTTCTTGGGGACCTTCAATGCTGCAGACATTTTTTGGTACCCTTCCCCAGCTCTGTGCCTCGACACAATCCTGTCTCCGAGCTCTACGGACAATTCCTTTGACCTCATGGCTTGGTTTTTGCTCTGACATGCACTGTCAACTGTGGGACCTTATATAGACAGGTGTGTGCCTTCCAAATCATGTCCAATCAATTGAATTTACCACAGGTGGACTCCAATCAAGTTGTAGAACCATCTCAAGGATGATCAATGGAAACAGGATGCACCTGAGCTCAATTTTCAAGTCTTATAGCAAAGGGTCTGAATACTTATGTAAATAAGGTATTTCAGTTTTTATTTTTTTATAAATGTGAAAAATTTCTAAAAACCTGTTTTCGCTTTATCATTATGGGGTATTGTGTGTAGATTGATTTGGGGGGAAAATGGTGTCCATTTTAGAATAAGGCTGTAAAGTAACAAAATGTGGAAAAAGAGAAGGGGTCTGAATACTTTCTGAGTGCACTGTATGTTTGAATATAAACTGTGCAGAAAGATGTGCCTGTTCTGGTACCATCTTGTGCAATAGTTAGATATAGCTCCTATATAATCTACCTGTATTCTGTATGAACTCCTCTGTGACTTACCAACTAATGTGAGGGAGGAGCTCTCTGCTTTCTCGAAAACCACCTGGCTGTTCCCCACCAGCAGGCCAATGTCAATCTAAGGGAAACAGGATTTATTGGAATTATTACCAACTACTGGTTATTACAAATAACTGTTTCAAATCAACTCTTACAATTCTGCAGAGTGCCCTTTGGACTTCGACCAGCACCCTAGCAGCGCATTCCCTCGTCAAATAGAGGCCTCGTTCTAAATGAAGGGGCAGGTGAAAGCAAGGGCTCCACCACTTGGCGTTCACCTGTCCAGTCATTTCTAATCATGGATTACTTCAAGGAAGGGGGGTAATTCCAACTAGGGCCCATATCATAAAGGGCTGAGTTGTTACAGCAGTAGGTTAATGTAACTCTGGGTACCTTCTGCTTCTTGCCAGATGCTGGCTCCCCCTTGAGGATGCTGGCGTCCATGGCCTCGATGTCTTTGATCACCAGCCCAAAGAGCTTGTCGCAGAAACTGAACACCAACTGGGGAGGAAGGGAGGAGGACAGGAAGGATGATAGAAGAGAGGAGAGAGAGGATGAGAGGAGAGAGGATGAGAGGAGAGAGGATGAGGAGAGAGAGGATGAGAGGAGAGAGGATGAGGAGAGAGGGATGAGAGGAGAGAGGATGAGGAGAGAGAGGATGAGGAGAGAGAGGATGAGGAGAGAGAGGATGAGGAGAGAGAGGATGAGAGGAGAGAGGATGAGGAGAGAGAGGATGAGGAGAGAGAGGATGAGGAGAGAGAGGATGAGGAGAGAGAGGATGAGGAGAGAGAGGATGAGGAGAGAGAGGATGAGAGGAGAGAGGAAGGATGTGTTGCATCCCAATTCTCCCAAGTGCGCACTCCTACCCACATCTAAAATAATTTGATTGATGTAAACCACCAGTCTTTTTCCTTGTAACTCCAGGGAAGGGAAGTGTGCAGGAAAAGTGTGAAGAGTTGTGACCGGCTGTAGTGTTTGTTGTTCTGAATGACCTGCTGGGTGACAGAGAAGCCCTGGTTGTTGAACTGCTGGATGAACTCGCTGGCCATCTTGTCTGAGTCGTAGGGGCTGGTGTCCGTGCTCTTCTTCTGGAGGAAGTCAATCTCTATAGTCATGGCACCGATACACTGCTGGGACTTGTCAAAGTTGTAGTTGGCCACTATGAGGGGAGAGGACTCATGTCAGAGTACTGTATAATTTGTACTGTCAGAAATACTGTACTGTCAAAAATTAAATAGGTATGTTAAAGTGAGCTATTGGTTGTGGTCAAGATGTGAAGGTACAGTATATTAGGGACTGTGCAGGGTGCAGTGTAAACGAGGCAGTATCTTTGGTCATAGTTTTATTTTCCTCAGACTCATTAATGAAATGGAGTGAATTACCTTCCACCTCCTGTCCAATGGACAGACCGGCCCATTTCCTCTGAGAGAAAGAAAGAAGAGAGATAAGTAAGCCAAGAATGACAGGGAAGCAGAGGGAAGAGGGGCATGTACAGTATGCTTAAAATATTAGAATTGTAGTGTTTTTTAAATATATTTGTTTTGGAGAAATTCATTTAGATTATAAATAGGTGTACTTTATCTTTATAAAACATTGCAGATTCAGTACAATATAAAGATCTGGAGTAGGTGTGTTTTTTACCTGTGGCAGACTGAAAGCGATAGTGCCAGGGACTATGGCGTGGTGGGTTTTTGTGGTGAACACAAACTTGTGAGTTGGCGTAGTCTTCACAGTGACATGTCTGTAGAGAGAGGATTTGAGAAACTCATGGACATCTGTTCCATATACACAGGCAAAATGACCTCAACAGAATATCATATTTACAACTGTTTTCTTTTTCACATAACAACTATTCTGCTAATAATTTTTTTGTATGAAATCAGAAAAATACATTACTTCACAGCAAAAATGTGGCACTGATTATATGACAATTAAAAAAAATGAATGCACATATTTAGATAGCTGTGTACTAGTTCTGCAGAGAGGAAACCGAGGAGATGCCAATCTCAGTCGAAACCCTACTGTAACGAAGTGATTATAGCACCGGTGAGTGCTCTAAGCAACATACTTATATTTGAAAAGAGAATTGAATTGTGGGTAGAACAGCCATTGAGGAAAGAAATTAATCCAACATTTTCCAGGAATAGAGGAGAGGGTAGGTGGCAGGGCTATAGGCCCAAATCAACAACATGTTCCCACCCTTCCCCCTTTGACAACCAAGAGGATTCCATTGCTGGTGGACTAATCTCAAATTAGCAAGAGATGTGTGGTCCCTAACAATGAGCAGAAAATATATAAAGAGAGATCAGGTGGGAAAAGCTGCTACTGAAATCAACCATTTATTGATTCCTATTTATCTCTAAAAGACAGTAAAAAATTGCAATTGTATTATTCAACAAATAGTTGAATGTAGTGTGTAGTAACGCAAGGTTCAATGCTAGTACCTGTGATCTTTTTTCAATGGCTTATTTGTAAATGCCCTTACAGAGTCGATGTGAACAGTGTTTCTCCTATTGTTACCAATTGGATATCACGAAAAAGGGGTAAAAGTTTTTTAAAAAGGTTTTAAAAAGAACACTCAGGACCTCACATGCCCTACAGTATTGTATGTACGAGCCATGTTTGAGCACAGTCTTGGCCACTCTTTTTTTGCTTCTCTATACTGTCACACTATCAACATTCCCACTGTACCGCCAATAAAAATGAAGAAAAAAAATATCAAAGGAGATCAAGTGTTGTTTCAAAATGTTTAAAATTGTGCCTTAGCATTTATTTCAGTGTTCTCCTTAGATTTATTTTTACTTTAGGTGTGGTCCAGGGAGCAGATACAGTGGCTTGCGAAAGTATTCACCCCCCTTGGCATTTTTCCTATTTTGTTGCCTGACAACCTGGAATTAAAATGGATTTTCATTTGATTTACACAACATGCCTCCCACTTTGAAGATGCAAAATATTTGTTTATTGTGCAAACCCCCCCCCCCCCCCAGCTCTTTCAAGTTGGATGGGTTCCACTGGTGTACAGCAATCTTTAAGTCATACCACATATTCTCAATTGGATTGAGGTCTGGGCTTTGACTAGGCCATTCAACCACTCAAGTGTTGCTTTAGCAGTATGTTTAGGGTCATTGTCCTGCTGGAAGGTGAACCTCCGTCCCAGTCTCAAATCTCTGGAAGACTGAAACAGGTTTCCCTCAAGAATTTCCCTGTATTTAGCACCATCCATCATTCTTTGAATTCTGACCAGTTTCCCAGTCCCTGCCGATGAAAAACATCCCCACAGCATGATACTGCCACCACCATGCTTCACTCTGGGGATGGTGTTCTCGGGGTGATGAGAGGTGTTGGGTTTGCGCCAGACATAGCGTTTTCCTCGATGGCCAAAAAGCTCAATTTTAGTCTAATCTGACCAGAGTACCTTCTTCCATATGTTTGGGGAGTCTCCCACATGCCTTTTGGCGAAAACCAAATGTGTTTGCTTATTTTTCTCTTTAAGCAATGGCTTTTTTCTGCCCACTCTTCCATAAAGCCCAGCTCTGTGGAGTGTACGGCTTAAAGTGGTCCTATGGACAGATACTCCAATCTCCGCTGTGGAGCTTTGCAGCTCCTTCAGGGTTATCTTTGGTCTCTTTGTTGCCTCTCTGATTATTGCCCTCCTTGCCTGGTCCGTGAGTTTTGGTGGGCGGCCCTCTCTTGGCAGGTTTGTTGTGGTGCCATATTCTTTCCATTTTTTAATAACGGATTTAATGGTGCTCCGTGGGATGTTCAAAGTTTCAGATATTTTTTTTATAACCCAACCCTGATCTGTACTTCTCCACAACTTTGTCCCTGACCTGTTTGGAGAGCTCCTTGGTCTTCATGATGCCGCTTGCTTGGTGGTGCCCCTTGCTTAGTGGTGTTTCAGACACTGGGGCCTTTCAGAACAGGTGTATATATACTGAGATCATGTGACACTTAGATTGCACACAGGTGGACTTTATTTAACTAATTATGTGACTTCTGAAGGTAATTGGTTGCACCAGATCTTATTTAGGGGCTTCATAGCAAAGTGGGTGAATACATATGCACGCACCACTTTTCCGTTATTTATTTGTTAGAATTATTTTCATTTCACTTCACCAATTTGGACTATTTTGTGTATGTCCATTACATGAAATCCAAATAAAAATCCATTTAAATTACAGGTTGTAATGCAACAAAATAGGAAAACGCCAAGGGGAATGAATACTTTTGCAAGGCACTGTAGGTGTGGCTAATGTTGCCTAAGTAGTTACAGTCTTGTCCCATTGCTGCAACTCCCCTACGGACTCGGGAGAGGCGAAGGTCGAGAGCCATGCGTCCTCTGAAACACGACCCTGCCAAGCCACACTGCTTGCTTAACTCGGAAGCCAGCCGCACCAATGTGTCAGAGGAAACACCGTCCAGCTGGCGACCGAAGTCAGCTTGCAGGCGCCCGGCCCACCACAAGGAGTTGCTAGAGCACGATGGGACAAGGAAATCCCGGCCGGCCAAACCCTCCACTAACCCGGACGACACTGGGCCAATTGTGCGCCACCTCATGGGTCTACCGGTCACGGCCGGCTGTGACACAGCCTGGGATCGAACCCGGGTCTGTAGTGACGCCTAAAGCACACCAATGCAGTGCCTTAGACTGCTGCGCCACTCTGGAGGCCCATGTCCCAAGTGTTAAATGCTACACCAGACTACAGCACCAGAGTTGAAACACGTAGACCAGGGATCATCAACTAGATTCAGCCGCGGGCCAATTTTTTCTTGAGCAGATTGTTGGGGGGCCGGAACATAACAATTTGTAGACTGCAAATTGACCGCAAGAAGCCCAAACAGATATAATACAGTTGCTTACATTTGTATACAATCACGTGTCTCTCTATTATGCGTGGGAATACTTGGGAACAGATTTCCAAACTTAAAATCACTTCGAGCTGAAGTGGGGAACCCTGATGTAGACAGTGTGGTTTTCCAGACTACAGAGGGCTATACTGTATAGGGTGATTACTCACTGTCCAGACTGCAGATCCTTTTCGCTCACCACAGCACAGTTTGTCAACGATAGGTCATCTGTCGGGCATCGCGCCGCTTGCATCGTCTGCAGTGGAGAGAGAGAGAGAGAGAGAATAAGTTGAAGGGGAGATATTACTCTAGTAGTTGAGTAGTGACGCAGCATTTCCAAAGGAAAACTAATTTTACATTTAATAGCATCATCAAGGAACTTGGGTTTCCTTGTTGAGACTGAAGCTAAGAAACAACCAGGAGACACACCCATAATGGCCTCTTGACTTTCATCAGGAATCATTAAGAAACATCCAGTTAAATTCTGGTAGTTCACACTATGGTGTGAGGGTATATAACGAACCATAAAACTTTGTAGCAATGCAACAGTATACTGTAGATCCGTCACAGCATTTCTTTGGGTGGAACATTTATCGTGTTTAGTTTCTCTGCAAATTCAACATATTTCAACTCATAGGCAACAGCAATGTTTGTCCAATATCACAAAATGAATATAAACCAGCCTTGAAACAGACAATGCCAGAGAGCAGCAACAGACAGCAGATACAGCTTGCTAGCTAGTTAGTTTATTTCTTTATTTGATAGGATCTATTCCAGTCGTTACAAGACTATGAATTAATGAATGACATACAAAATACAATGAAACCAAAGACAAATTCAAAACACAATATATAAAAACAAAACAAAGAACACTTCTTTCTTAGTTGCGGTAACTTATCTAAACACAATTCTTGTTGACAAGTTTCTACATTCTTATGTCAGATTATTGCACGGATTAACTGCATCGACATTCTCTTACATAGCTCCGTTCACACAATTCACTGAGTGAAAAGGTTCCAGAGTGAAAAGATGAAGAGATTCTCAGGGCACTGAATGTTTGCTGCTAAGAGCATGGCTTCCAGACCGCCTGTGAACTGTCATAATATACCAAGGACACTATACAGTACAGATTCTTCCCTTTGGTACACAAGACAAACCTCGAAACAGTTTCAGTAAAAGAGAAAAGATGGGAAAAAGCAAGGACGTGGTTCCAATTAAAGATCCCACAGAAGGCCATGTTACAAAAAGGTTGTCATGACCACACATTTCAGATCAAGACAGAAAGAGATCTTGATGATGATGCAATATTCATTCCAGCTTTAGAGAGTTGATCTTGGGTTCTCAATCTCAAGACTAGTCTAGACCATTTAAAAACAGTCTTGGTCTGGGCCACAATGCCAGAAGTCTGGGTCTGGGCTGATGGTCTATGATGAGACCATGGTCTTTGTAGATTTTCAACTCATGTTGTCAAGATGCATCTTTGAATACCATCTTGTCAGTTATATGGCCATGTATGAGTGAAATAACAAGCAAGTCCAACACTCGCTGCCTTACTTCCCTAATGTCAGAGCCAAGTGGGCCTAAAATGACAACTGGTTTGGTCTGGGTCTAAATAGGTTGCATCTTCATCTGGGTGTCATAAGGTATAGTCTGGGTCTTGAGGGCCTCACACAATTTCTGAAAATTAGACCCTTAATATTTAATTAATAACATAAGGAGACGAATCGTCATTCATTTCAGTTTGATTTTATACAATCCTTAACGTTGTTGTGAACGTACCCTGTGAAGATATGCATGCCATAGCTATCTTTGATTTTGCTCACTCATAGTTAGACACAGGCCTGCCATGTACGCTTGCTTGTCTGACATTTAAGCGGTGGCGGCTGGGGAGCGGTGAGCAAGGGCAGCGGGTTTTGGGAGTCGTAATGTTTGGGTGCAAGGGGAATGCTTGGGTTGTGGCAATTAATAGAGAGGTGCGTATTGCACTGCAGTGCTGGCACACTGCCCTGCCCCATTAAAAAAATCATCACATGCAGTCTAGTCTACCCCCAGAGCTCGCTCAGCCAGAAGAAAAATAAATAGGCTGAAGCTTTTCTGTTTAACCCCGGTCCAAGAGTAGGTCTAAGCATTCTTAGTGAAACTGTAGCGGAGGAGTAAAGGATGCTAATTAATTTTGTGCACTCAATCAAATGTCCTCCCCTCTGCATTGCAACTCAGTCAATGGATTTGCAATGGCAGATGATATGTGTGTCATATGTATATTGTTTCCCGAGACAGTCACTACCAAGGGTGCGAGCAGCGGCAGTGGCAGCAGGGGGGAAGCTTTCGTAAGACCTTGGGAGTGGACGAGGCGGATAAAGCTACTTTCAGTAAAGCCGACTGACTGTCCAATTAAGCTATTAGACGTTTAGCGGGTGGCGTGGGAGTTCATACATGAGGAAATGACTTACATACATACCTTGAAAAATATTACGACCTGGGGGCCAACGTACGCAAGCAAAGAGGGAGGGGAAGAGGAGGACATAAGACAGAGAATTGAGACAGCCAGGACCACTGTCTGTCAGAGAGCTGAAGCAGCATTGGGTGCATTGATTCACAATCGAAGGAATACCACTTTGACAGTGGCAAGTGGCAAGCGCATGCAGAGAGGGGCAGAGTTGGGGTCTTTCTTATCATTTCACTTTACTTTTGTTCTCATCCTGAACTGCACCAAAACATGGGCACATTTTGACGTCAGTGAATTTACACTGCCCAAATAAATTGGTCTGTGGCTAGAGTCTTGTTTTTGAAATGTGAGTTTTTAGCATGCTAAGCGCCTACTATAAAGTATACCCCAAATCTGGTAGTAATGTCATTTGTCAGCCATATATGTTTTACAGTCTTATGTAGATCTTACATAAGGAAGAGATTCATTCTTCACATTGTAAACAGAAAACATTGTCTTAATGTGAGAACTAATATGAATTTTCATGAGAGCAGAAATCTTTCGTATTTTTGGTGATCTTTTGTGATGAATGGATGGAACCCCAGGGTTACTGTCATGTATGGCTGATTAAAATGGTAATATGAGCTGTAGCATGCACAAACAAGCAAGACATTACATGGTTTTGAAAATGTACAAAGAATAAAACCCTTCACATAAATACCTTCATTCATAGCAGAACTCAATGCATTTAATGAGACACCATTTCAAATCAAAGTAGTCAAATCTTAGTGAGCTATGCACAGCCTTTGATGGATCAACACGCCCCACAAACCCTCTAGATTGTATTCAGTAAACCTATATTACAAATGGCTCGTTGGTGGTGGTATGCTGCATTCAGGACTAAGAATAGAGGGTGGTCAGTGATCCGTCTTATGATTGCGGTATAAACACACACACACACACACACAATCCTAAATCTTGATGCCCCATCCAGCCCTGCAGTCTCGTAGGACAGAACACTCCAGGCTTTTTTTCCTGCCTTATTTCAGGAATCCCTTTTCAATATTGCATCAGCTGGAGTCCTGGGGGAGGTATCCATTGAGCTGTCTGTGCTGGAGATCAATATGTATAGATGCGGCTAGTAGGAGGAGCCATTCAACTCAGCCTCTAGCCAGCTAGTGCATCAGGTTGGCCTATGGGTAGGCCCAATGATGTATGCAGTAGAAACATAATTAAACTGAGTATACAAAACATTAAGTACACCTGCTCTTTCCATGACATAGACTGACCAGGTGAAACTTAGGATTCCTTATTGATGTCACTTGTTAAATCCACTTCAAATCAGTGTAGATGAAGGGGAGGAGACAGGTTAAAGAAGCCTTGAGACAATTGAGACATGGATTGTGTATGTGTGCCATTCATAGGGTGAATGGGCAAGACAAAAGATTGAAGTGCCTTTGAACGGTGTATGGTAGTAAGTGCCAGGCGCTCCAGTTTGTGTCAAGAACTGTGACGCTGCTGGGTTTGTCACGCTCAACAGTTCCCTGTGTGTATCAAGAATGGTCCACCACCCAAAAGACATCCAGCCAACTTGACAACTGTGGGAAGCATTGGAGTCAACATGGGCCAGCATACCTGTGGAACGCTTTCGACACCTTGTAGAGTCCATGCCCCAACGAATTGAGGCTGTTCTGAGGGCAAAAGCTGGGGTGCAACGCAATCTTAGGAAGGTGTTCCTAATGTTTGGTAAACTCAGTGTATTTGAATATAAATTATATGCCTATGGGCCTATATTTCATCAGTCAAAGGGACATGTTTACAAAACCACAATATTTATGCAATCAATTCAAATGAGGCATTACTTTTTCCATGGTAGTTTGACAATCTTACCACCATACTATGTCTACTAATCAGTTATTTTCATTATAGGCACCAGAAAAAGTGCATCCACAATCTATTTCAAACTGACTTGGGATCAGTTCTCCCAACACCAATCTTCACTTGAAACCATTGTAAGCGAGTCAACAAGAAAGCCATAGGTCAGATTTTGAAGGGCATTTAGAGTCAGCACAGGGATATGTGTTAAGAATTCAGAAGCAGCTGAAGACATTATTGAGCTAATATGCTAGGTTTGAAAGCCAATTCCTTTTTCTATTCAGATAAATCACTTTAAGCTAGTTCTTGGCTGTCTTCCCCTACTGGAAAGTAATTACATCAAAGTTAGAGAGATTTGATGGCAGGGAGAGACCATGCAGACACATCACTTTGACTACACTGTGACTGCACTGTTATAGCCCTGCAGGGTATGGTATGTTTTGTAGAGGAAGATTCCAAAAGGTAATGTGCAAAAGGTAATGTGCTTGTATTTCTTCTGTGTAGCTGTAATGAATACTGTAGCTGTAATGAATCCTCAGGGAGAAAAAGATGTAGATTCACATGCAGAGCGCGGCAGGTGTTCATTTCGCCTTCGCATAAGGCAGGAATCGTGGTCACAGGCAGGCAATGGTCATACACAGGTAGGCAAACAGGCAGGAGAAACAAAACTAGGACTGAAGGCTGACTGGTTCTCACAAACGAGCTAGGAAAAGGCTTAGTAGAGTCAAAACGAACAATACCTCACAAGGCACAAACAGAATGAACTGAACTAAATAAGGAGCTGATGAGACCAGGTGAGTACCTAACACACGTCCAGCCGGCAATGAAGCTTCAAGCTTTTCTCAATATATCTGGCTAATGTGGATACCAAGGATGTCTATGCATTCTGCTTCCATTACAATATAATTAAACTCACATGAGTTATATTTTGCTTTGTCCGCATTGGCTGATTC